AAAAAAAAAAACAACCAAAAAAACCCCACACCACCCACCACCTAAACACACAACAACAACCAAACCAAAAAAATCATCACCCACCCACTCAGCAGCCCACGACAAACCAATAATCTTGGGCACTAGAGCATGCCCTGAAGAAACATGTCTACACGTTTCTTAAATACCTCCAGGGATGGTGACTCCACCACGTCCCTGGGCAGCCCATTCCAATGCCTGACAACCCTTTCAGTAAAGAAATGTTTCCTAATATCTAACCTGAACTTCCCCTGGCGTAATTTGAAGCCATTGCCCCTTGTCCTGACATCTGTAACTTGGGAGAAGAGACCAACCGAAACAGCAAAATAAAAACTAAAAAAAAAAAAGTATTTGCTGTAGACAAGGTCTTATATCTTGGTCTAACCTCTGTATCCATTCTGAAATTGTACAGTTACTTTGCAGTTGTTATCTATCAGAGCATCCTCTGATAAACTGTATGCTGTTAGGCACTAGTGAAGATGCTTTACTGCTTGGGGTTTTTTTATTGATTTTTTTATAATTTATAAAATGACATAAGTCTGTGTCATTTTGCCAGCAAATGATACTAACTGTTAAAGAAGTTATGTTCACTTCTTGGGTTTTGTTTTGAAATGTAAGGTAAAATTTGTTTTTGTCATCAAAGCTGTACACATACGCACACACCAGCTATATGTGATGTTCATGGACATCCCTTGGCATGTACCTGCTGCTTCTTTTCTTGTTCAGGCTTGGGTTGGGTAGAAACTACTTTGGGTAGAAAGTAACAGTAGGGCTTGTTCTTAGGATTTCTTCCCTTTTTTAGAGCGTATTGTTAAGCAACAAACACATTGGTGCTTGCTTGCCTGTCATGCATAGATCACCTTCCTGTTTAATCCACTTCTATGTGTTTCATATTCTCATGTTTTTTATTGCCTGTAAAAAATACCAGTATTATGACTACGGTACTCTTTGCTAGCTCTAAGACCTGTTGTCCACTTTGTAGCCTTTCTTGTTTAAGGAGAAGGGCTTTAGGGCAAGAAGCATCTGTTGTGTTGAGTCTTCTGCAGCTTATTTCACTCTTAATTTAATCTTAAGGCATTTAACATCTGTCTGACAAATTCTTACCCTAGAGCACTCACAGTTTACACTTACTGAATTAGCAGAAAGTCTACCTTCCCCAGCCTCAGTGTTGAAGGGCACTGAAAATTCATTTTGCTGCATTAAATTGCCAGTTACCTGCTTTAGTAGTTGGGGAAAGGGTGTGTTACAGCTCACTAAATCTGGGTGAGGCAGATTGTTTGCTAATAAATTCAAAATCAGATAGAAAATACAACAGAAAAGGTTTAAGAAGGGGTTATGAATTCCAGTTCTAGAGGGTTACTCTTTGTTTCATTTTGTAAGGCAAAAACTGCACTGTGATCTTGTCTGATGTGATTAACATGAAGAGCCAAGAAAACTTACCTGATTAGAATAACTAAGTAATATTGCCAAGCTTGTATTCCCAGAAGGTAGGAAAAAAGGGGCCATATGAGTTTCAGAGTTATGGAAAACACTGAGAAAATGGATGTTAAAATGTGCTTTAGGCAGTCTGCTCAACAATACATCAGGGAAACTTCCAAGTCTACATAGTGATTACCCGATCGCTGAACATATTATTTAATTGTAGAACCGCTTATATTCCATCTGTATTTCTCAGACCCAATCTTTCCAGATGTCTCAGACCAGTTTTATAGGCACCAGACACATTAGGGAACAAAAGGCTTTCCAATATATACTCATATTATCAAACATAGTCACTAACTCTCACCAATATCAAATGTGCATCACATGTTAAATCCACGTTCCAATATTGAATCCTTTTGTCAGCAGTTTGTGACTTTCATAACTCACTTTAATTCTTCAGAGGTCTCAAATATTGTCAGTTTCTAAAGTTTAATAGTCGAAACTGTCAAGCACACAAAATATTTTCAAACAAAGTGATCTCTGAAGGGTTCACTGTAATTATTTTTCACATGTTTTAATGAAAATGGCTTCACAGTTCTACGTTTCCTTTCCCTAACTGAGTCACTCTGAATCATGCTGTTGTGGGGGAGTCTGCCTGGGAATCCGGACTAGAATTACTTTTCAGCATGGGTTGGGGGATGGTGGCCGGAGGATGTCCCTTCCTCGAACTTTCTGAGATAAGAGAAGAATCCACAAATTGTATTCACTGTACTTGGACCCAGACCATGTTAGCTCTTTGAGAAGCAGGTTCAAGTGTCCAGAGCATCTCCCCTATTTTCTGCTTGTTTTCTTTCGAGCCGTTTAGAAGCTTCTGAGTCCTAAAGGCTGCAGCCAGCAAGGTCACAGCTAACTACTTTACCTGCAACTCATCAACTTCATGAAGCAAAGTGTGTATTAGTGTTTGCTCTGAAGAATTTTTGCATTTTACCCTTCTACAACTGTTGAGATAGATATGAACTTTATCTTGTACGCAGCTTTCCTCGACCTCTCCATACCCCCTACCATGCATACATAAAGAGCACATAATAGTAGCTATTTGTATGCAATTTGAAAGAGCCAAGATAAACCCCAAAGAAGGAAATGTTGAAGGAATCATAAATAATATGTTGGTGTTTGCAAGGGGAGAAGGAAACTCTATGAACTGAGTGTTTGAATATGATACTGGATCAGTAAATGACATGAAACAGATGGAGGTATTTATGGGAATGGTATACAGGAGATTAAAACTATTGAAATACCTGTTAAAGAAAAAGGCTAAAACACAGTGGGCTCTAAAATCTCCTGTGAGATCTTATTAGGCATTTCATTCTACTTCCAAAATGTAGCTTTCTGTGAATTAATACTGAATTTTTATACTGAAATTTCCATGAGCCTTTGTAATTTTCTCTCTCCTTTGCCTCAGCATCATGAACTCATGTGTCTCCCGATAACTGATCACATGTGAATAGCAAGTGTTCATGATACGCTAGTTATCACAGGGGAAACACTTTCTGAAATTCTTATATCATTGAGTTAATTTATGTTGCTCAATAAATCATAAATGAATCATGTACTTCCTCCCACAAGGAGTGTGTTTCACTATTTTGGATTCTTTTGACGGTTGATTAAACTACATAAAAAGGGGGATAGAAGTAAAACTTGCTTTAGTCACCCTGTGAAGCGAGAGGCAAGAACTGGGAGAAGATATGAAAAGGGTTATTGAATGGGTGATGGTTTGTCTTCACTAACCAGCTCTCTGTCCTGGCCTCTTACTAGGTGCTGGAATTCAATAAATAAAGATTTAAGATATTTTATTTAAAAAAAAAAAAAAAAGGCAGTCATGGAACCAACATTTTATGTTGTGAACTATATAGTTAAAATGACCTGTCTGGTGACACAGGGCTGTGAAGGTTTGGCAAACTGCAAGAGCTTGAGAAGAGTCTTAGTGAATTTAGGCAGCCCAAGATTACACATAAATAAATAAAATATATGCTTTGCTGGATTAGGGCCTAATTAAAGAATTGTCAAGTTGTTCAGACTTGTGCATATCAGCTCCGTCTGTTTATTTTTCCACATTTCCAGTGTTTTTGAAACTTACTGCCCTGATATCAAACACGTGCAGGCCGCAAATTAACTTTCATGCTGTATCTACATCTTAAAATACTTTAAATGTGTTGAAAATGCGGTCCAAACCAATCATAACTTTTTTCCCCTTTACTTGTTTTTTCTCAGAGATTGGCAGTCAGAAATTCCATAAATACAGCCAAGAGAAGACACTGAAGTGGTTAAAGAAAAAGGTATTGTGTTTCTCTTTTGCTTTCACTATTGCTTTAAGTTTAAAATGAAAATTTTTATTAGTTTCTCCATATCTGCATTTGAGCCATGTGGTGTCCTCCCTCAGTGAAGGTAACTTGTCCTGTTCAAGAAGGACAGATGACACCGTACTTGGGAATGTGATGAGGTATTAGAGAAATGACAAGTCTGTTACATTTCTCTTTCTCATGGGACTGGCAGGAAAGGGATTCATGGAGCGTGGGGAGGCAGAAGATGAAGCTGAAATTCAGCTTATCTCTTTGTTCTTAGGCTTTGCATAAGGTGAGGGGCTTGTCTTGTCTTTTGTCCACTTCACAGATGGGCTAGAGGAGGGATTTGACTGTCGTAACTTTTAAATTCTGCCATGCTTTAAAGGTGGACGGAAGTGCATGTGTTTGTGCTACAAATGGGTTTCCTTGTGAAGTTTTGTCAGAGTCTCCCAGAGTGGTTCTGGTATGGTTACTGCTGTCCTGATCCAGTCGTGCTGTTCAACAGGTCTGTACAGCGTGCAGGAAATAAACTAGTGTTAATAGTGGAGCTTAATGAGGTCTGTGTTCCAGTATAAAGAAGGTGAATCTAATTTTACACACACATGTGCCCCTACTGTGATGCCACTTTGTAGAAAAAGGTTGTATGCAGCATGTGATACAAGGAAGCCTTGTCATTTAAATTAGTCAACGAAGGCGCAAAATCTGGTCTACTTTCTGCAACAATGAGGCATGAGAATATCTATTTTGCAATGAATACCTGCATATTTACATTTGAACAGGTACCTGTTTGTGCTGTTGAAAATACCTTCTTCTGCCAGTGCCCTGTGAAGTCCTTAATCTTTGATTTCCATCAGGACTGCCTTTGCAGTCCAGCTGAGCTCAGACCTTCTCGGTGCTCTGAGCAGGTGTATTTCTCACCTGTATAATTATGGTCGTTGCATCCGAGTAGCTCAGCTCATCTTAGGGTGCTGCGAAACTGGTGCTGTGTTGCCAAGGCAACGTGTTCAAAGACATGCTCGTTTCTTTGGGTTTTTTGAGCTCATATGCTAGTCATTACAAATGTATATTAAATTTCACCACAGTCCATAACTTGAGTGTTTTATATGCTTGAAACAAAATTACAAGAGCTTTGTCACTGCATTAACATGAGCATAACAACACTGAGGCAGACATTTCATTCTGTGGTTTCCTATAGGTCAATCAAACAGTGAAAGCACTTAAAGGCAACAATATATCTGTGGGTGAAAGGGTACGTGCCGCTACGTTTATCAGCGTTACACAGGTCACAGATTCTAAGGAAGGTAAGAAAACTAAACATTGTAATGAATTCCATTTTTGTGAAATCGCATACATGGAGGTACAATACATGATAAGAATCTAAAATGTATTCAAACTGGCCTTTACAGCAAATTTTCCTTGTGCAGAAAATTCCATATGTGTTGTGACTGTGTGCCTTGACTTTCCTGAATTCTTTGGTATCTTCATCAGGTGACATTGTAATTAACAGTAGGTCTCAGCTCGGGTTCTTCTGGCTTCTCTTTAATTCAAGAAGACATTTTTCTCAGTGAAGTATGTGCTGAAGTGCTTTGCTGAACTGCAACTGTCTTGAACAGTAGGACACATGCTTATAATATATGAGTATCCACCCAATAAGTGTCTCTGTATTAGAACAGATTTCTTTTCTATTAATATTTTTATTAGCATGCAAATGTTCTTCATAGAATTCTCCAAAATGGGAAGGTAACTTAGGAAGGCATAGTCACACAGCAAAAGCTCCTGGTCCAAACATTACCATAGGTGACAACTGTATAGAATACACAAGTGTGTGCTTAATAAGGGCAACAACTTTAATCATGTGTGTATTAAATTGCCCTGAAATTGACAACCCTGGTACCAAAAAGTCTGGAGTGATCCTGTGTGCTTCTAGTCACCTTTTCCCTGGGGAGGGCCATGTCTTGAATGTCACTAGGATATAAAGTTGTGTAGGGAAACCTGAAAATGGACTTGGAATAAATTCTTTGAATGTTAATGAAAGTTTAAAAAAGTTTAGAACAAGATGAACAAAAGCAAATTGTTTCTTATTACAAAGATATTCAGAAGTCTGCATGCTGTTGAAAAATAAGGAGAAACAAAGCAACTTGCTGACGAAGTGGAAAATGACTTACCAAGTAATGATATCAAAGGAAACAACATAAATGAGATTTAAGAGGCAACTAGACAGTTTTATAGAACAGAGATTGTAATATATGGTTTTTAAAAAGAGGCGAAGCTGCAAAACTTGTAAGTTACTTTAACTTTACAGTAGCTTTTCATTCTTTTCCCCACTCCCATTTTTTTAAAGAAAGGGAAAATTGTCCTGACAGCAACCGTCTTGACTATGCTTAAATACTTTATCTCTGAAATTTGTAACTAAATAGTGTTTTTTTCCACCTTCCTCCTTACTTACAGTGATATGGATATAATAGTCTTTTTAAAAACCTTTTTTAGATTTAAAAGAGCAGCATTGAAATAGGGAATGCTGGGGGTTAAAAGTAGGTAAGTTTTGGAAGCAGTCCCACTGTATGTAGCAAGGTGAATGACAGGAAGTCAAATGGACCTTACTCAACACTTATTTTTAATAAGACTAATTTTCTTGTCTGATCCTTTCACAGCCATGACAGTGCAATTTATTTCTGTGGAGAATTGCTTTCATAGGGGTATTATGAAATTTCAGTACCTTATAAATAGAGGGGTATATGTAGTTAGCATCTACAGATGTTGTAAGCCAAAAATCTGGGAGGATATGATGAGGGCAAATGGGGAAGGAGGGGAGGTTTAACATGTAAGATCTGAATATTTCATTCAGAAGACAAAGAAGGGAGGTGCACGAGTATTCCTGATGTTTCACAGGAGGTTAATAACAAAGCAAGGATAGGGTGAGAACACAGACTCCCTAGAAGGCAAACAGTGGTATTTTAAAATTGGTAAAGGAAGTGAGCGAAGATTGCTTCAAGGCAGAAGTGCAAAGAGAATGGATTTTACAGTTAGTACAAAATAATAGCAGTTGACTTGGACTCTCCATTCAGTGTCATAATGCAAGGAGTGAAATGATGGGAATATTTTTCTTAAGTGGTAAATTGGACATACTAAGTGCTGAAGCAAAATTGTCTTGAATTGGAATTATTTCTTGTTCTCTCCTGACCCTAAAGTGGGCTTAGGGAGTGACAAATCCTTGATGAATCTAGGCACTGGAAGAAGAAGAGCAGATAGGAGATACTAAGAATTTGACGTCAGTTGAAATGCATATGCTGGTGTCAGTTTCTTAATGCTTTCTGCTTCAATGCCAGTTCACATTGGGCTTTTTAGATTTCAAAGAAAAAAAGGAGGAAACTATCTCTGGCATAGAAGAAATAGTTCTTTAACACCCTGAGGCTAGTTTACCATGTGCTTCTGAACTGTCTTAAGTGTGTGGCCTCGTGCACAGATAGAATCATAGAATCATCTAGGGTGGAAGGGACCTTAAAGATCATCTAGTCCAACCATCAACCTAACTCTGACAAAAAAAAAAAACCCAAACAAACACTAAACCATATTCGTGAGGACCATGTCATAGAGCTGACCTGTTGTAGCTGGAACTCGGAGGCAAGATGTTACCTTTTTGTCTGTCTGGCAAATACTTGCTGTTCATGGGTGCAGTTACTCCCTCGCAACCCAGACACCAGCAAGTTTAAAAGATCCAGCCCATGATCAGTAAGTGCTTGTGTAGAACGTGACCGGAAAAGATCTGGTTTAGGACTTCATGTTATAAAAGGGTCACTTTTTTTTTTCCCCGGCTTCTCAGAATAACATTTATAGCAGGAGTGCCCTGTACTGAAAACAGCTTCTAGTAGTTCATATTTCCACAGATCATTATCCCGTCTTGCCAGTGATGTTTAGATAGGCCTTGGCATTTTCCGTAAAGTACTGAAATTAAGTACAAGACTTTGAAATAGACTCATTGTCTCATCTAATTGTTTTCAGTTGAAGCCAGAAAATGTACTTTAGTACTGAAGCCCTTGCCAAATAATTGTAAGATCCAGATGCTTTAAAATTAATGATTGTGTGTTCTGTTGAGTCAGCTTTTTACTTTTGCAGGTTTTTAAAATTTAATTTCTTTGGAAAAATACATGATATCTCGTATTCTCAGAAAGTGAACAGCTTTTGTAAAGTACATACAGCAGATATTAATAACATGTGCTGACAAAGTGAGTGTAGTAAGTCTTTACTTTTTAAATAAACCTACAAGTGTCATATAACATAAACTACTCAACACAGAGAACCATCACAGCATATCCATTAGAAGTCTCTTACTATTAATTCAGCCTTATGATTTATGGTACTGCATGCAACATGGCTAAAGCAACGTGACTATATAATGTGAATGTTCTTTTTCTTCTTCTTCTCACTCCCTGCCCTGTTTCTGAAGACTATATACGGTATGCCCATGGGTTAATATCAGAATATATTCCTGAAGATCTGAGTAAGGAGTTGTTAAAATACTTAGGGTGAGTATTGTTCCAGCTAGCTGCTAGTTTTATATGAAATGCATTAATGTCCTTGTGGTCATTTCTGTTGAATGCTGAGAACTGTTCATCAAGGTTGCAGTGAATGAAACAATGAGATTATATTTGCCACACTTTAAATGGGATTATTTGAAATGTAGATTATGCCTTTCTGTTGCTCCTGTGATGCTAGCAACCATGGGCTGGTGGAGAGATGTAATATATAAGTCTGATATATCTGTTGTCACAGTTGCATCATGAAACCCTGAGCAATGTATCCTATTTTAGAGCAAGGCAGGGAAGGAAATACAAAGAGTTAAAGCAGTTTCTCTAGAACTGTCAAGCCCAAACAGCAGAGCCAGGAATAGTATCTTCATCCCCAGTCCTCTTTCCTTTTAGTGCTACTCAGTGCTGCCGGGGTTTGATTTCACATATCTAACCTGTGTTAGTTTATATTTGAATCTGGAAGGTGAGCCAGGATGCTCATCCTGGTGTTCCCGGCCAGCAGCAGACTTTGCTTGGAGCATCACTGGGACCCTGCACCTGCCCCTCGGTTCAGTTCTGTTCAAAGTGTTCTCTTATGGTGGACTATGGAAAAATGTGCAATTTACAGTTTGAAGTCCCATGGCTTAACAGTTTCGTTGAAAAGATGTTATGTGCTTTTTAATATCATCTTACCAGTACCCAAGGTTTTCAAAAGCAAGGTAGTGGTCTCCTGTTTTGGTTGCCAGATCTAAGAACTTTTAAAAGAGTTCATGTTTCTGTATGGTGCCCGGCTCTGTTTTAGTTATCTAAGTCAGAAATAGAGAGTCCATGAACTGCTTTTTTTGCCAACGTGTGCCATGTGTGAGCAGCTGATAACCAAAGCAGCCTTTGTGGGGAAGGAATAAGCTTTAGGTTGTGCAATTCAGCTGCCTTAATCTATAACTTAAAATCTTTTGTTCTACAGGCTCCCAGAATTTAAAAGTCCCGTACCAGAGCCACCATTAAAGGTAGGAGAACATTAAGATATTGAGAGACACATAGTGGTGTAAACTAATATATGTGAATTATTATTAAAACTAGACTACACCAATCACTGGGTACAATACAAAAAGTAAGTTGGCCTTGTGAAAAGCCAATCTGGAATAATGCAAGAAATTTACCAGGTACTTCATATTTTTCAATAAGGAATATTTTGGTTGATTTTCCTGTTTGAAGAAGGGGAGGGAAAGAGAGAAACATATTTTATGTTTTTGGTCAACAGTATTTTCATACGTGTTTTGCTTATTTAGTTTTATTGAGGTTGATGGGACAATATGACCTCATAGGTTTTCTTTCATATGTAATTTATGAGGACCCTGAAAGGGACCTCCTGGGTCATGGATTCCCAGACAACCATGTTGGATAATCTCTTATACACCGAACATTCTTCACTGTAAGTCTCATTAGGATTTTTTATTTCCATTACTTCTCTTGGAAGACTGTTCTATAACCTCATTCCTCTGATGCTCAGAAACCTTCCTGTAAATTCCACCTTGAATTTATTCGTGGCCAATTTATTCCCCTGCGCTTTTGTGCTAACATTATCATTGTTTTTTTTTAATTGAAATGGCTCTTTTCCCTCCCTAACATTTGTTCTCTCGGTGTGTAAAGGGAAAACATATTCTTTCTGTTTTATTTTTGTGAAGCCAAACTTGGTTGTGTTAGATGGGTTCTCCATTCCCTCATCATTGCAGGAACATTCCTTTACACTTATTCCAAAATGAATTCAGTTGTTTCAAGCAGGTGACCGGAATCATATATAATTATTCGTGATAAATGCTTTCTTTGTACAATATGATGGCATTCTTCCCTTCTTGTCTTAACTGGAAGTACTTTATCTCATTATATCTTCAAATCCTATTTGCCTCTATTGCTGTGTGATGTACCAGATAGCTCACAGTCATGCTGTGAACAATTAAGACACACGGTTGTGTTTTCTTCTCCACTGCAATTTTTAGTTGATCAGCATTCAGATTTACGAGAAATTCATGCAGTTAGCTGCTGTGTACATGACCTTGTACTTCTGCACATTTACTCTGGCTTTTCCTTCACAGTGTTAAAAGCTCTTTAGGTGTTTGTAATGCTACTCACTGCTGTACATTCAGCAAATTTTAGCATGCTGTTATCTTTATTTAACAATTAATGAACATTTTGAATAGATACTGTTCAGGTGCTCCACAAGTAATCTTCATCTCATCCAATGATGTCCCTTTCTGCATTATTTAGCTTTGTTTCCCTTTTACCCAGTTTCTTACCTACCTTAAAAGTCTTATGCAATCTTTGTTTTCTACAATTTCAGTTGCCTAAGTAGCACCATATCAAGTCCTCTGGCAATGCTTTACATTTTCTGCCACAAGAGAATGTGTTATCTTTGAGAAAAAAAAAAGCTAAGTTGGTAGGGACTAACTATGTTTAGTTTTCATTTACTCTGTATCTTTAATTAATTCTTCCTTCTTTCACTTTTTCTCCCTCCTCCATTCTGCTGAAGCCTACTGTCACTTTTTCCTCCTCCTTACACATAGATGGGTGAATGGCTATTCTGCAGGAATACAGTCCCTACCTGACAGAACAGTTGCCAGGTTTTGCCTCTGGACTCATGATTTCTGAGGCAGCCTCCCAACAGTGTCAGCATATTGAGTTTTACTTCTGTCTTTAGAATAGAGTGATTTCTGTTCTCTTTTCTGCCCCTGTGTTCAATCTCTTCATCTTTATTGGAAACAATTTTCTGAGGTAAAGGATTTATTCCATTTTGGGGCTACACATAGATTAGCTTTAAGATCTATCCAATCCTTACTGTATAGCAACTTCACTTTTTCTTTTTTGATTCACTTTTTGCTTCTGTGGCTAAACAACCTTCTACTATTTGTTTTAATTTCCTTTCCAAGGTCTAACTCAGCTTGACTTTTTGGCAGTTCTCACTTTATCCCAGTATTACCTGACCCCTAAAACAAATTTTCTTTTTTTTTGGCAGTCTTTTTTTCCCCGTTCATTGTAGAATTCTCTATTTGGGGAATATGTGTGCATCTGTGTGAGCAAGGGGAAGCATTCCTGTAGGTTAGTCCGAAAAGCTCTTTCCTTCAAGATTCTTCACCTTGTTTCAAGTAAAAGATCCAAAATCACTTCTTCCGTATTTTTCTTTTACAGTCCAAGTGTCCTCCTCACACATCAAGCCCTTTTGATTGGGCTTAGAGAAATAACACATACGGTTTGCAAAGTTTGCCCCTCTAGAATCAAGAACCCCACTTTTGATTGTCCTTTCCATTTAATTTAAGCTGAGGCACCCTATGTCTACTCAAACTAGGTTACTTACTACACCAACCTTTCCTGCAACGTCCCTGTTAACTTACCGAAACAGTCTAAAATAACCTCATTTCTGGCTGGTTCAGTGACTGTTCTTTTAAGCAGTATGTCAGCTAGCACATGCAGGAATAATTGGGCCCTACTGTTATTAATAGCATTTGTTCTCCAATGTATATCCATGGATATAAGTTATTTCCATGTGGTTGGACAGTTGTTCTGGCTGCACAGTTACTTGGCCCTTTGATTCAGTTAAGAATTATCTTTATGCATTGTAAGAAATATTAAACACACATCAGGAGCCAACTGATATTCATTAGCCATATAAGCATGTTACAACAACTATATTAAACTACATGTGATGTACATTACATATTATGTACGAATAGCTTTTATACCTTTGGGATAGTTCTGAGAATCTATTTTTTAAAGTAGTTTTATTTCAGCAGTTTGGTTACAGAGGAAATGAGGCTTAGAACTGTTCGGTTGTTGGGCAGTGAAATCTTGCTGAGGATCTGATTAATTTCCAGAGCACTGACCAGGGTGTGTATGATGCTTCTGTGTTTAAGTCTTTGCATCTTCAGAGATTAAAACGCTCCTATATTCCACAACCTCAGAAGAGCAAGGCAGGCTTGTACACTGGAACCTATAGTCTCCTTCAGACCATTTTTATTCATTTGCATTGACATTTCTGTTCACGAGGGCAAGGTGCATTGACAGACATAGTATAGGATTATTGCAAATAAAGAAAGGTCTAACATGTATTTCCTCTTATGGTAGAGTAATTGCGTATTTAGAAGTTACGTTAGAATAAATGCTGAAGGGAGGAAAGATTTAGAAACTTCAGTGGTAAACAGAAAAGCTACGACAGATTCTCTTCCGTGTAGTACAAGAGTAAACTGAGTACAGTCTGGACTCTGTGATTTAATGATTAAATCAAAATTACATGTTCTTTTTAATAATTGTAAGCCATTGATCTTGTGTTGTAATTGTCATGCTGTCCAGTTTGTCAGCATAGGGAGCCTGGCCACTGGCAGATGATGACAGCCATCTACAAAGAATATGTAGGCTCTGTTAGAATTAAACAGCAAACGTTTTGCTGAAATAAGTTTTAAAAACTTGTTTATCAGATTCCAAAAAGAGGAGAGTAGTAATTATTCATTAGATTGTCATTTGAAAATGTTATCGCAGCACAGTAAACAGCCTCCTAGGGAGGCTGATCCAGATCCCATTGAAATCAAAAAGAAAAGGCTGCTGTTGGATCTGGTTCTAAGAGCTGAGAAATCTAAGCTGCAGACCTGGCTTCTGTGCCAAAGAGAGGGGGGTGGAAGGGAGGAGAGAGAGAGAGATCACAAGCACCATAAACAAAATGAATAAAACAGGATCTTAAAATGTATGGTACCATCCAAGTTGCTTGCAAAATCACTCTCTTTGGCACAAAAACTAGGAAGGCCACAGTTTAGATTTCACAGGATATTAAGGACAGGGTAGTAATATCAGATACATAATAATAATAAAAATACAGTGTTGTAAAATACTATGTACTTTTTTTTCCCCTTTTGGAAACATACCAGGAAGTTTTCACCTTTAAACTAAACACATGCTCACAGTTTATGGAAAGAAATATTCATTCTTACAGCCTGATCATGTGAAGTGCCGAGAACCGTTCAGTTCCATTATTTCTGAAGTTAGAAGGCACCCAGCACATGCCGAGTCAAGCTTCTTAATATGCTGTTGGATTCAAGCGATGAAGCAGTCAGCAAAACTGTGTCAGTGTTTCACTGTTGCCAAACTGTAGAAACTAATTATTTCTAAAGCTTGTGCACAAACAGATAATGGACTAGATGATGATCCACTTGTGTTGGCAGATAGTGCTGCCGTTGCTGCACAGTTCCATGAGGCCATGGGGACCAGAGTCTAGTCTGCTCCGTAAAAAGTTCTCTAAATAGACTCTGACACCAAAGTCACAATCATGGAAGTTAAAAGCAGGATTCAAGTGATTTCTAGAAGCCGTTCTTCAGAAGGCTGGGAATAGGAAAATGCTTCCCATGACACTGAATGAGCTCTTCTGAATACTGTAGAGATGGTATATATTCACATGCAAAGAAGACTATTACAAAGAGAAATCTTCCACTGTTACTGCAGATTCTTCAGTTGATTTCCAGTCCTGTTTTACTGCTATGGTTATGTTATAAAGCCAAAGCTTTAAACTTCCGTGTGTGTACATCATAAAAGTGGTTGACAGAGCAACTTCCTCACTCTAACATTTCAGAAAAGGAAATTATCAGATGTCCCTGTGGAAGCAGAAGAAGATTATACTAAGTTAAACAGCAGCAATCCAAAAACCAAAAAGGTAAGTAAGCCTTGCATTCATGCATGTTTTGCTAAAGCATAGATTAATATCCAACATTAGCACAGACTGCCTGTTCTTCTCCTCCAAAACACATCAGAAAAACAAATACATAATGGCAGATGTCTGTCATTATGTCTCCTTGAACTTTTCATTCAAGACTAATTTAACTTTGACGGTCTTAATGTCCCATTCTGAACCCTTCTACACTGTTACTGTTTGACTGTATTTTATCAGTGAACATTCCAGTGAACCTCACAAGACTTGGACACATGTTAAGGTGCTCAGCTAGTGTTTGCAAAGCTCTTTGAGATCTTCAGA